CCTCGCCCCCCCAAGTCGCCGCGCAACGCCTCAGACGCCGCCACCGCCCCCCCACCGAGCACCACGCCCCCGCCCCCTCCGAGCGCTGCACCGGCCCAAGACCCTGCCCCCCTCCGAGTGCCGCCCAAAGCCCCCCCCCCCGAGTGCCGCGCTGACCGAAGCCCCGCCCCCCGAGTGCCGTGCCGCCAAAACAAAAAACCCCTTTCAATGCTGCCACGACGAACCAATAAATAAATAAATATAAATAAAAACCCCGAGCACCGCCTCGCCCCAAGGTGCTGCCCCAAGCACATGTTTGGTCGGCTGGTGCCTGGAGCCGGCCCTGGGTATGGTATTGCCACCCTTGCTTCTGCGCTGCCTTCAGAGCTGGGCGCCTGGCCAACAGCCGCTGCTCTCTAGTCACCCAGCTCTGAAGGCAGTGCAGAAGTAAGGGTGGCAGTACTGTGACTCCCCCAAAATAACCTTCCAACACCCCCTCCCCCTGCAAACCTCTTTTGGGTCTGGACCAGCCAATTTGACAAATGCTGGTCTCCCCATGAAATCTGTCTAGTATAGGGTACGAGCATACACAAGATTTGTGACGCATTTTTCATGGCTGTGAATTTGGTAGGGCCTATGCATACTGCTGTCTTGGGCATGGCCAGAAGGGGAGGCAGCAGTTGCTGGAGTCTCTGTTCGGAGCCAGCCAAGTAGGAGGTGGGCCTGGGCCCCCTATTTGTTGTGCCCCTCCTTTTCACATAGATACCTCTGTAGTGTAGGTTTATAGCAGTGTTTTGGTGGGAGCGAGGGGAGCCGTATCTTATCTTTAAACAGTCTAGTACACAATACATAACTATTTCCTAACTGCATTAATGGTTAACTTTAACTGCATCATAAGGGTTTCTGAACTTTATCTACTAAGCTTGCTAGTGTGCATCAAGGACCTGGCCAAAGAGTTGGCTCTTTAGAGGCTACCTTCAGGAGAACTCCAGTCACAGGTAAGTAGTTTGCATTAACCAGCCAGGTAATATGTTAAGCTTTGTATGGATGATCAAATACAAAACTGACACCCCACTTCTAGGGAATTAGATGCTTAAATGTGAATTTAAGTGTATTTGCGATGGCTTAACTTTCATTTGAACTAAAAATATTCCATTTACACCAAATCAAAAGCATGAGTCAAAATGTATAGCACTGAGAAAAGTTTGATAAAATATTACATTTACTATTAGCATATACAAATTAGATAAGTAATCTCATGAATTTGTATAGAAATAAGCATGCAGATTTTAAATGTATGCAGCAAATGGAGAAGTAATATGTATAGATATGGAATGTAATAAATCTGTCAGCCTCATTTATATGCCATATAGAAACTACTAAATGAAAATTATTATAGATTGCAAACTAAAGCATTCAAAAAATTAACAGCTGTCTGTGCAACCTTAATTTTGCCCCTTTGTGCCTATGCTTTATTATACAGTTTTTAATTACATCATTGCTTGCTATCTTTTTTTCCACATTTCAAGTCTCCCTGCTTACAAAACCTTGCCGCATTCACCTCCCAATATGTTAGAGGCCTATGAAAAAATAGCATGTGATTATGTAATTAGACTGTCATAAAGCAAAAATGGAAGGGGGCAGAATTAAAGTTGCACAATAAATCTGGCATTTCTTAACTTTGGAATGCTTATCTTTTCAACTGTAACAAGGTTTTTAATGTCATTTTTATAGAATTTCCTTAAAAAGAAAAGTTCATGTGCAACTGTGACACACAATTTGTGAGTGGTTTTTGCTGTGCGACACTGAAATGCTGGGAATTGGGATTCCTGTGTTCAATTTCTTGATCTGGGAGTGGAGAATGGCCTTTGATTTGATCAGAGGACTGAAAGAAAATATGTAGGTGGTGGTGGTTTGTCAGTTATGCTTTTTGCTTGCACATTGCTCACTGTTGCCTGACTCTTGTATAAGACGACATAACCAAGCACATAGATTTGGCACATTCTTTGAGAGGCACTGTGACTAACTAGATAAGATTTTGGTTTGCTGTATTAGAAACATAGGTTCTATTATTTCTTCTGTCAGAAGCGAACCTGTGCAGGTTCTCAGATCCTCAGTTATCTTTGATGGGCGGAAAACTTGACTCCCTCCAAATTTAAGTATACGAAAGCTTGCTTAATATAGGTTGTGAAATACACAGAATTAATATTATTCAAGGAAAGATAAGACTAAGGTCTGGTCCACACTAACCCCCCCCACTTCAAACTAAGATACGCAACTTCAGCTACGTGAATAACGTAGCTGAAGTCGAAGTACCTTAGTTCGAACTTACCGCGGGTCCAGACGCGGCAGGCAGGCTCCCCCGTCGACTCCGCGTACTCCTCTCGCGGAGCAGGAGTACCGGGGTCGACGGCGAGCACTTCCGGGATCGATTTATCGCGTCTAGACAAGACGCGGTAAATCGATCCCAGAAGATCGATTGCTTACCGCCGGACCCGGAGGTAAGTATAGACGTACCCTAGGACTCAGTCTTCTATTCCCAGCCCAGAGCATCTTCCCTTAGTCTAAAAAGTATTTTAAGAATAGAGAGGTGACAGGAAGCAGCCTGTGTTTCAGCTGGAAGGCTTTCTCTGTTCTTATCTTAGGCACGTAATGCAGGAGATTCACTTGGGGCCTGGGAGCACATGCAGTGCAGTTGGACTGTAGAGAAAATAAGGGACAAGTAGGGATCAAACTGTAGTGCCCATATGCAAATTCTCTGCATATTATAACTTGGCCAAAAATATGTCTGCTTTCATGGGGGACAGTAAATGACACATCTCCAACCTCAAACATCCTCCCTGCCGAGTAACAAATTCCTAATTTGAATCCTTGAGGCATGAGAATTGTTTTTAAAATGTCAGAATTTAACATAGGCAAAAGTACCTGTTTCACTAAATGATTTCTTGGAAGTGGCAGACTTCTAAAAACCACCATTGTGTGGCAGAGAGAGAGTATGGAAAATTCCCAACTGAATGACCAGTTTGTCTAAGTTCAGTAACTGTAAACAAGGTTATAATAGGTGTTAGACAACTTTAACTATAGTCTTTGATATTGTTGTCCACCAGTTTGGAACCCCCTGGGTATTAATAGCAGTGTAGGCAGTGAGGCACTGCCTTTGGGCATCTACCCAGCTTTATACTATACATAGCTCTCTACAGCCCACGCAGTCCCTCTCCAGGCTACCACTGAAGCCTTTCCCTGTCAGAGGAAGAGTCCTACAGAAGGGAGCTGTGCAGAAAGGCTCTACTAGCTCACCACTGCTGGAGCTTTCTCCCCGCTGTGAGGGAGGGCTTTGGTAGTGAGATACAGTGGGGAAAGGTTCCATCAGCTCGCTGCTGCTTCTTCTCTCCAGAGCCTTTCACTGACCTGTAGCTACATAGCAGTGTGGACACCACTTACTTTTCATTATGGCTTGTAATGAAAACTGGTGTGTAGTGTAGACATAGCCTAAGAATTATTAATACACTTAATGAACAGGTCAAAGGTACCATAAAAAGATCTAACAGTAAAATGAGCTTCTCCATTTTCACTTTCCTCCTTAAGCCTCTAATAAACTGAAATGTTTACAGTTTGTCCTGAAAGTAATAAATCCTGGCCGGTGTTGGGTCCAAGTGGAGGCAGGAGGAATGAATTCCAGAGTCAAGGACGGCTTCTCCCTTATATATAATTGTTTGTTTATTTATTTATTTTAAGTGGAAGGAAAACTTGTTCTAAATCTTCCCTTTCCTTCCATGGACTATATTTTTGTGTATTCTCCCTAGGGTATATTTACTTCCATTGCAACAGCATTTAAGAATCAATTTCTGCAGTCTTCTGCTATGAAAAAATGACAAAACATTAGTTGTAACTGAATTTTACTTTATGGCTAGATTTCATTACTTTCTGCATGCAAAGCAAAGGCCAGATTGTCAGCTAAGAGCTCTGAAAAAATATGCAGATTCTTACCTAGTTGCTGAATTGCCTCAAGCTGCAATACAGCAACTTAATCCTTTGTCCTTTTTCTTTTGGCTTTTTCTTGCAGTCTGTGAATTGATTTACTCACTGCCTTGGAATATGTCTGCCAAATCCATGGGAGGTGTTGGCTTTTATAAATAGCTGGCACTGGAAGATTTGTGACTTATAGAAGTTTTACTATAATAAAATAGCAATATAATTAATCATTAAGTGAAACAACAATGCTAGAGCTCAGAAAAG